AAAGAACAATGAATATGATAAAAGAATAATTCAGTGAATTTAAAGAACGCACAAACAAAGGAATCAAAGAACTGAAGGAAGATAGGGATAAACTTCTGAATGAATTCAGAAAAGAGTTAGAAATATCGAAGAATACCCAGGCTGAAATGAAGAAGGAAGTGAAACACTCAGTAAGCCAATTAGAAACGACAGGAGAAAGCCTCACCAATAGGATGAAGAAAATTTCCCCAAAATTGAAGAAAGACACGCCCATACAAATACAAGAAACACATAGAACACCAAATAGGACCAGAAAAAAAACTTTCTGTGGCGCATCATAGTAAAAACACTAAACATTCAGAACAAAGAGACAATAGTGAAAGCTGCAAAAGAAAAACAAGTCACATGTAAAGGAAAACCCATCAGGATTACAGCTGACATTTCAGTGCAAACTATGAAAGCCAGAAGAGCCTGGACCAAAGTATTGCCAGTTCTAAATGACCACAGATGCAAACCCAGATTACTATACCCAGCCAAAATGTCTATCATAGTTGAAGAGAAAAGAAAAATCTTCCATGACACAAATAGCCTGAAAGAATACATGTCCACAAAACCAGCCCTTCAAGGAATACTTGAGGCAATACAGAGAGCAGAGAGAGAAACAACTATACCTTGGGGCAACAAAAGAAAATAAACAAAGATATAATCTAGGAAACACAAAATTACACAGAGAACAAAAACAGCAATCAAAAGGGCGGCAACCAATACACACCTTTCAATAATAACCTTAATATCAATGAACTGAACTCCCCTGTCAAACGACACAGGCTAAGCAAATGGATTAAGAAACAAAATCCATCTCTTTGCTGTCTGCAAGAAACCCATCTCACCTTCAAGGACAAGTACTACCTTAAGGTAAAAGGGTGGAAAAGAATATTCCAAGCAAATGGCACTAAGAAACAATCAGGGGTTGCAATTCTAATATCTGACAAAATAGACTTCAAAGTAAAACTAATCAGAAGATATAAGGAGGGTCACTTCATTCTGATCAAAGGAACAGTTAACCAAGAAGATACTACAGTCTTTAACATATATGCACCACAAACTCTGGTGCACCCAACTTCATAAAAAAAAAATACTACAGGACTTTTAGACCCAATACCCGACTATCTCCATTAGATAGGTCAACAGGCCAGAGACTTAACAGAGAGACATCTGAATTAAACAAAACCATATATCAAATGGACTTA